CTACACTCCAGCCTGAGCAACAGAGTAGACCCTATCTCCAAAAATAAAATTTAGTGTGTTACCTTTTAAATTAGCAATATGACCAGTTCTTATTATAATGCCTAAATTATTTTGATATTAATGAAAAGGATCTAAAAGGTTGACCTTAGACATAACTTCAACTTGTCCTATCTCTTACAAGCACATTTTGATCATCAGCTTCTAATAAGATAGACATATTAATCAGATATTTATAACCAAACATGACTGCAATGCATCCCACAACTAGATGGTTGGCTAGCCCATTCTGTTGCCCACGTTGAAGTAGAGTGGCTATTCATAAGCACAGTTATTGCATGCTACAGCCCCAAACTCCTTGGCTCAAGTGATCCTCCTTCCTTACCCTCTGAGTAGCTGGGACTATAGGCAAATTTAAGTGTATTTCTCTCCTAATTGTTCTTTTAGTGTTTTTGAGACAGGGTCTTGCTCTATCGTTCGGACTAGAGTTCAGAGGCACAATCATAGCTCACCGCAGTCTACTTCCCAGGCTCAAGAGATCCTCCTGCCTCATGAGTAGTAGGATCACAGGCGTGTACCACCCCACCTACCCAGCTAATTTTTTATTTTTTGTAAACACGAAGTCTCGCTGTGTTTCCCAGGCTCATCTCAAACTCCTGGGCTCAAATGATTCTCACACTTCAGCCTCCCAAAGTTCTGGGATTACAGGTGTGAGCCACCATGCCCAGCCAATTATTCTTGTAATAATTTTTTATGTGTCCTTTTTTCTCCATGCTAAATAAATCTTCCATAATTTATGCTTCAATCATGTTTTTCTCCATTCTTTTGTCACTTATTGTCATGGAAAGTCTCAGCCCACACTCTGAATTAGATAGTTTGTTTTTTTGGGTTTTTTTGTGAGACAGAGTCTCAGTCACCAAGGCTGAAGTGCATTGCATTATCTTGGCTCACTACAACTTCCCCCACCTGGGTTCAAGTGATTCTCCTGCCTCAGCCTTCCTAGTAGCTGGGATTTCAGGCATGTGCCATCATGCCTACCTAATTTGTATATTTTTTAGTAGAGACAGTGTTAGCCAGTGTTGGCCAGGCTGGTCTCAAACTGCTGACCTCAAATGATCTGCCTGCCTCAGCCTCCCAAAGTGCTGGGATTACAGGCATGAGCCACCGTGCCTGGCCTAGATCATTTTATAGTAAGATAAAATGTGAGGATTATTTTTTATGTTTTTATTCAAATCCTGTTTCTTTCACAGTACCTCTAATGTGTTTTCTGACCTTGGGCATAGCGATCATCTATTTATTTCTTATATTATGATTTAGCTGTTTGAAAATAATAGTAGCTTAAATAAGAAAAGAATTTATCTTTCACATAAAGTCTGTATAAGTAGTGTGGGACTACTATAGTTATCACTATCATTAAGAACACAGGTCCCTTCAAGGCTTTTTTGGCCATTCTCAACATAAGATTTCTAACTCAATTCATCATGACTGCTTCCCTTCCAGATACCATATCTGCATTCTAGCCCGCAGGAAGAAAAAGAGCATGCCTCCTCACATTCAGAACTGTCCTAGAAGTTACATACACCAGTGCTGTTTATTTTCCATTAAGTAGTCATATAGCCACTTCTAGAATTTGGTGGGGTTTTTTTCCTTTTTGGAGACAGTGTCTTACTCTGTCACCCAAGCTGGGGTGCAGTGGCAAGATCATGGCTTACTGCAGCCTCAACCTTCCAGGCTCTAGCGATCCTCCCATATCCACCTTCCTGAGTAGCTGGGACTATAATAGGCACAGGCTACCACGCCCAGCTAATTTTTAAATTTTTTGTAGAAAAGGGGTTTTGCTAAGTTGCTTAGGCTGGTTTGAAACTCCAAGGCTCAAGCAGTCTATCCACGTCACCCTCCCAAGCTGCGGGGATTACAGGTATGAGCCACCATGCCCAGCCAGAATTTTCAAGGGGGCAAATATAGCCTTTATTACAGGAAGCTGGGTGTAAATGTCAAGGGTTCTGTTAATGCTGAAAAGGAGGCAGAAACTGGAAATCAACTTATATTTATAGCTTCTACAACCATTCTTTGTCTTCTGTTCCTTTCAATTATAGCTCATTTATTTTCATTACATTGTGGATTTTGGAGCAGCTGATTATCCAAGAAATTTTATCTTGTAGGGAAACCCCTTCTTTGAATGAAATAGTCTCCAGAAGTATAAACAAAACGTAAAAGCAGGGCTGCTTTGATTGGCAGGTAAGATGGTTAAGAGAGAGCCTTGCTCTTTTCATCACTTTTACTGGCTTCTCTCCTCTGTCCCTCCACCCCTTCCTACGCCTAAGGACTGTTTAAAAAACAGAACTTGAAACTATAGGCCCAGCGCAGTGGCTCACAACAGTAATCCCAGCACTTTGGGAAGCCAAAGCAGGCAGATTGCCTGAGGTCAGGAGTTCAAGACCAGTCTGGCCAACATGGTGAAACCTTGTCTCTACTAAAAATAGAAAAAAAATTAGCCAGGCGTGGTGGCATGTGCCTGTAATCCCAGCTATTCGGGAGGTTGAGGCAGGAGAATCTCTTGAACCAGGGAGGCGGAGGTTGCAATGAGCCAAGATCATGCCACTGCACTCCAGCCTGAACAGAAGAGTGAGACTTTGACTCAAAAAAAGAGAAAATACAGTGGTTTCTCCATTCACTTCCCATTTTTAATTTTCAAAATAGTAAATTTCTGCTTTGATAATTAATCTAAGTTTGACAGAAATAAGGCTTTTTTTTGGTGAATTCTTTACTTTGAATGTTGTTTTAGAATCTAATGTACTTTTCCTTTCATTTAAATATAACCTACTCCATATAGATTAGAAGCTAGAAAATACTGTAAAAGGAACTGAAATGTCTGAATCTATAATAAATTCAAAACCATTCATTGAATAAATTATAATGATTATCTGTGCTGAACTCAGTGTGATGCTGGTGTTCTATGCCTAAATAGAATTGACTGAATTTTTTGTTAGACTCAAAAGCCTTCCCAGCATACATGTATCTGTAAGCATTGGATCAGCTCTATAAGAGACACTTTACCAAGTGTTAGTTAATTACATATTTTTAAAATTCTTCTAGCCAGGACTATATCTCCTATTTTCTCCTGTTATGAATCTGGAGTTCTAGCTCTTTCCCTCTGCTCTGACCCTACCATTTCCTCAGCATGGCTGAGGAAACAAGGGGAGAGGATGCAGAAAATTGTCTGCTATAAAATAAATCACTGGCAACTTTGGAGTCCACTATTTGTCTTTCTTTATATTAGATTACTGAGCATCTTAAATTAATTTTTAAGCTCAGTTTGTGGGTGTTTTTCTGCCAAAGATAATTTTCTGTAAGGGGTAACTTCTTTCTCTCTTTTTTTCCCTCTGGACATTTAAAGACATAGTTTGGGCTGGACACAGTGGCTCATACCTGTAATCCCAGCACTTTGGGAGGCCAAGGTGGGTAGATCCTCTGAGTTCAGGAGTTTGAGACCACCGTGGGCAACATGGTGAAACCCCGTCTCTACTGAAACACGCACAAAAAAAAGCCAGGCATAGTGGCATGTGTCTGTAGTCCCAGCTACCTGGCAGGCTGAGACACGAGAATCAGTTGAGCCTGGGGGGCAGAGGTTGCAGTGAGCCAAGATCGTGCCACTGCACTCCAGCTTACCAACTTAGACTACAGAATGAGACCCCTGTCTCAAAAAAAATAAGAAAAATTTGAATAGAATAGTCTTGTTTAGGAATATCACACCAGGGTTATCACTTCTTAAAATAACAAAACAATCCTGCAGGATCTTAGGGCCATTTGCATTAGTATCAGTTCATATAAAGAATATATATAAAAGGCTCAGGGAATTGAACTGAACTTACTTTGACATGCTTAAAAAAAAACTTTGTATCTTATTTATTTTAACATTCCTATTTTGTTCCCATTGTGTTCATAAAAACAGTGTAGAATATAGGAGCAATTTTTTAAATGGTTTTGCTTTCTGACTCTTTTGGAGTCAGACATTTATTATTTGGCATGTTAGGCTTCGTAGGAATTTTACCTGAACCCAAAGAGAATAGACAGACTTCTGAGCTTTGAAAAATTCAGCCAGGCGCTGTGGCTCACACCTGTAATCCCAGCACTTTGGGAGGCCAAGGTGGATGGATTACTTGACGTCAAGAGTTCAAGACCAGCCTGGCCAACATGGTGACACCCTGTCTCTATTAAAAATACAAAAAGTAGCCAGGAGTGGTGGCATGCACCTAGAAGCCCAGTTACTCGGGAGGCTGAGGCAGGAGAATTGCTTGAACACAGAAGGTAGAGGTTGCAGTGAACCAAGATGGTGTCACTGCACTCCAGCCTGGGTAACAGAGCAAGAATCCACCTAAAAAAAAAAAAAGAAAGAAAAATTATGCATTCATAATTGTCATGATGCAGGTAAATCCTACATTTCAGTTTTTCTTACTTTACATAGTTGGCAGCGTAGAGTAACAGATGACATCTTAAAAAATGTTAAGTAGTTTTGCTCTAATCTATATCCTCCTGCCACAGCAGTGAACTAGTCCTATAGAACAGAAATGTTACTTAATTTAGTATATTAACAGTATGTTTTTTAATCTTGGCCTGAAGCCCATGTTCATGGTAAGACATAAAAATTTGAGGCCAGACACAGTGGCTCATGCCTGTAATCCCAACACTTTGGGAGGCCAAGGCAGGTGGATCGTCTGAGGTCAGGAGTTCGAGACCAGCCTGGCCAACATAGTGAAACCCCGTCTCTATTAAAAATACAAAAAATTAGCTGGGCATGGTGGTTCATGCCTGTAATCCCAGCTACTCAGGAGGTTAAGGCAGGAGAATCACTTGAACCTGGGAGGCGGAGGTTACAGTGAGCCTAGATTGTGCCACTGCACTCCAGCCTGGGCAACAAGAGCAAGACTCCATTTCAAAAAAGAAATTTTTTTGAGAAATGATTTACTTGGCATTTTGCATCAATATGTTACCTTCCATTTTAGGTCTATCATTTGGCAAGTGTACGCTTACGTGATCTATGTCTAAAACTGGATGTTTCAAATGAGTTGCGAAGGAAGATATGGACGTGTTTTGAATTCACTTTAGTTCACTGCCCTGATCTAATGAAAGACAGGCATTTGGATCAGCTCCTCCTTTGTGCCTTTTATATCATGGCAAAGGTAATGTATAAATTGGAAGAAGAGGCTGGGCATGGTGGCTCACTTCTATAATCCCAGCACTTTGGGAGGTCAAGGTGAGCAGACTGCTTGAGCTCAGAAGTTTGAGACCAGCTTGGACAACATGGTGAAACCTCGTCTCAACAAAAAATATAAAAATTACCTGGGCGTTGTGGCTTACATATAGTCCCAGCTACTTGAGAGGCTTTCTGTTAGATTATTGAGTAGCTTAAATTAGTTTTTAAGCTCAGTTTATAGGTGTTTTTCTACCAAAGATAATTGAGGTGTGAGGATCTCTTGTACCTAGAAGCCCAGGGCTGCAGTGAGCTGAGATCATGACACTACACCCCAGCCTGGGCAACAGAGCGAGACCCTGTCTCAAAATAAATAAATAAATAAAAGTTTCTATACCATGTTGCGTATTGCTTTCTCATGATTTATTGTGCTGACTCAGAAGAGCATTTTACTTTCTAGTTGCTACAACGTGTTTTAAGTTATAGAATAATGTATCTTGCTTGTTTTTTAAAATTCTGATATATCTGACACGTTTGTCTTGACCTTACTGGCCACAGGCAGTCCTAGCAGATATATACAGTTAAGACTTGATTTTTCAGCTTTTTGAGACAGAGGATATGTTCTTAAACTCCTTTGTGACCCTCCTCCCACAATGCCTTTTTGAAATCTCTGTAAAAAATAGGTCTTAATAATTGTTACTGTAGAACTATGGCAGTTGACAAGAACAATCACCTTACATAAGGGAGCAAAAACGGAGCCAAGAAGAAAATGATTGGTCTGTTTTTTAAGAAATATTGGTATAATATAAAAATATCTGCTATGTTCAATAGAAGAAATACTGGAAAGACACTAGTTACCAGGACTCAAGGAACCAAATTGCATCTGATAGCCTCAAGAGTCATGTGTTTGAATTGAATCTTGCTGATTTGCAGAATCATGAAGTCTCAGTTAGAAAACTCAACCTGATTACTAAAGATATTTAGGACAAAAACTGCCTAACTTCCATGGCGTGGATCTTACTCGTGACAAAGTGTGTTCCATGGTCAATGTGTGTTCCAATGGCATATCATGGTCAATGCTCATGTCGATGTCAAAACTACCAAAGTAAAAAAAAAGCAGTTATTTCTTCAACTGTTCTGTGTTGGTTTTAGTAAAAAACATATCAGATACAGAAGACTTCTTGTGTTCAGTACCAACAGGTCCACCAAATCCATAAGAAGATGATGGAAATCATGACCCAAGAGGTGCAGACAAATGACTTGAAGGAAGTGGTCAATAAATTGATTCTAGACAGCATTAGAAAAAAACCATAGAAAAGGCTTGCCAATCTATTTATCCTTTCCATGATGCCTTAGTTAGAAAAGTAAAAATGCTGAAGAAGCCCAAATTTGAATTGGGAAAACTCATGGAGCTTCATGGTGAAGGTAGTAGTTCTGGAAAAGCAACTGGGGTGAAACAGGTGCCAAAGATGAATAAGCTGATGGATATGAAACACTAGTCCGAGCGTCTATTTAAAGTTCAGACTTACAGTAGTGGCAAATACAAAATTCTATTTGTAAAAAGTTAAAAGATAAATCATATTTTCCAGAAGACTGTCAGAGTTCAGGCTAACTAATTGTGTGTGTTTTCCAGAAGTCAGAGTTCAGGCTTTGCCATTTCTAGCATTTCATTATAGAGAAAGGTTTAGCACTAATGGACAGTGAAGCAGGGGAAAAGAGTAACTTAAATGAAGTTTATGATCACAGAGATACCGAAAGGAATTCCTTTTTGAATCACTAATCCATTTCCTTCCTTTTGGCCACCACTGTGACTTCTGTCTAAGCATTAGAAACGGACGGGCACAATGGCTCATGCCTGTAATCCCAACACTTTGGGAGGCTGGGGTGGGCAGATTATATGGTCAGGAGTTCAAGACCAGCCTAATCAACATGGAGAAACCCCGTCCCTACTAAAAATATAAAATTAGCCAGGTGTAGTGGCCTGCAACTGTAATCCCAGCTACTTGGGAGGCTGAGGCAGAAGAATCCCTTGAACCCAGGAGGCAGAGGTTGCAGTGAGCCGAGATCATGCCATTGCACTCCAGCCTGGGTAACAAGAGCAAAACTCTGTCTCAAAAAAAAAAAAAAAGAAAAGAAACCCTATAGTCTGTCCTGAAATGTTAGAACCTAATCCTATAATAGCTACTCAGTTTTATGGAGAATCACTGGGAAGTACTTTCAATCCTTAGTATATAGTTAATTTACTTTTAAGTAAGTACTTTTAAAATTAATAAAACTAGAGACTTCAGGGGATTCAACAGATCTGAGTTTGCTTATATCATTTTTTATATAAAGAAATGCATTTTAGTAAAGTCACATTATAGCAGTTTCAGTGCTTTTTGATCAATGAAACTATTAAGTGAGTCCCCACAGGCCACAAAGCCTGAACTTTAAAGGTAGAAAAAATCATAAATGTTAGTGGTTTTTAGTCATGGACTGGTCTGGGGTTAATGGTTTTCTGCAAGGCTACTCTCAGTGCCAACTTATAATTAAAGTTTTTGTTCAGAGCCATTTTTCTTTCAAAAAGCAGTTGATAAATGCAGTTTTTATTTTCCTTAGGTAACAAAAGAAGAAAGAACTTTTCAAGAAATTATGAAAAGTTATAGGAATCAGCCCCAAGCTAACAGTCATGTGAGTCACATTATTTTTCCTACTGTCCAAAAATAGATTTGCTCTCTTTTTCCACTGACAAATCATATAAAAAGTAAACTTCTTTTATAGTTTTAATATAGTTTCGATTTTCTGCTTTAATGAATAACATTAAACTCAAGAGACAATTTCATTGAAGGACAGTTTCAATAGAAGCCAGGATATCTGACTGTTTCTGACTCATCCATACATTTGCATAAACTTATCATAAGTTCTGCCATTCCATTTGCTCATTTAATGAAAGATATGTATAATAATATTCTTTAACTATATGAGACTGATTTTTTTGATGATGTTTAAACCCAGTGAGATTTGAGGATTCATTAACTTAACTACAGCATTTGCCATCTGCTAAGCATCCTAATGTTTGCATCTTTGAATAGACATTAAACATTTCTGATTATATTGTTCTGGCCATGGTGAAAATTCAGTAAAACCTTTCAGTCATGGTAGCAGAGTGGACTGGCACACAGTAAGCATTTAATGAATGTTAATGTCCTATTGTTGTTGTTATTGTACCTGAAGAACACAAGTAAATTACTTTTTTTTTTTTTTTTTTTATTGGATTTTAGGTTTTGGGGTACATGAGCAGAGCATGCAAGACAGTTGCGTAGGAGCATACATGGCAGTGTGCTTTTCTTTCCTTCTCCCCTTCACCCACATTTGGCATTTCTCCCCAGGCTATCCCTCCCCACCTCCCCCTCCCACTGGCCCTCATTCAAGAACCTAGCTGCTGACCAGGCGGGTTGGCTCACGCCTGTAATCCCAGCACTTTGGGAGGTTGAGGCGGGTGGATCACGAGGTCGGGAGTTTGAGATCAGTCTGGCCAACATAGTGAAACCCTGTCTCTACTGAAAATACAAAAAATTAGCTGGGTGTTGTGGTGCGCACCTGTAATCGCAGCTACTCAGCTGGCTGAGGCAGAAGAATTGCATGCACCTGGGAGGTGGAGGTTCCAGTGAGCAGAGATTGTGCAACTGTACTCCAGCCCAGCCTTCAGTGCAAGACTCTGTCTCAAAAAATAGAACCTAGTTGCTCTGCTGTTAGAAAGCATAATGGCCTCTTCTTTGGCCCTGAAAATTGTAGATAGAAGTAGTAGCCTAGATTGCAGACCGAAACAGAGATGGGGCCTCACACCACTAGTAGTTATATCCGTTTCTAAGAGAGCTTTGTTTAAGCCCTAAAATATATTATAGCAAGCAATATAGAAACATTTGGAGAACCAAGTACAGGCATTTGTTCTATCCCGTGATAAGCTAAGATTTTCTGGGCCTCTTTAGAAAATCCCTCAGGAACAGAGCCTAGAAAGCTCTAGATTATCCTTGAAGATCATTAAGGTGAGGTTAGTATGAGTCAGAAATGGGCCAAACCACAGTTCCCTATATATCCTCTTAATACCAGTAACCTATAATATAATACAAGGGGAATGAATCATGCCTTTCCAGCTATCTCAGAGGTGAGAAACAGTTTAGGGGCAGAGAGGGGAAACGATTCTCATGTGGCCATCTGAAAGGAGATGGGAATGGGCTGGGAGCAGGAAAACAAGTTTCATTAAGAACTAATGACTCTTCGCCCGAGCAGTGACTCACGCCTGTAATCCCACCAGTTTGGGAGGCCAACGCAGGCAGATCGCTTGAGCCTAGGAGGTCAAGGCTGCAATGAGCCATGATTGTGCCACTGCACTCCAGTCTGAGCCATGGAGTGAGACCCTGGATCTAAAAAAAAAGAAAAAAGAAAAAAAAAAAAAAAAGACCAGTTGATTCTTGTGTAAGGAATTAAAAAGGAGGAGGAATTAATTCAAGTCTTTGTTTTTTTGTTTGTTTTTTTGAGATGGAATCTCGTTCTATTGCCTAGGCTGGAGTGCAGTGGCGCAATCTCAGCTCAATGCAACCTCCACCCCCAGGGTTCAAGCAATTCTCCTGCTTCAGCCTCCATAGTAGCTGAAATTACAAGTGTGTGCTACCATGCCCAGCTAATTTTTGTATTTTTAGTAGAGATGGGCTTTTAGCATGTTGGCCAGGCTGGTCTCAAACTCCTGGCCTCAAGTGATCCACCTGTCTTGGCCTCCCAAAGTGCTGGGATTACACTGGCCAAATTAAGGTCTTTGAAGTTGCTTTTATTTAGTAAATCATGATCATCAGTCTTTAGTTGCTACTACTTCTGTTTTATAAACTAAGCCCGTCTTAGGTTGTGGGCTCTTCTCCAGTATGGTATGGGTTATAATCAATACTTACTTGAGCTATAACCCCTCTTTTATGGTATGGGTTATAATCAATACTTACTTGAGCTAATAACATTTTACCCTTGAGTATCACACAGTCAAACAGTTGTTTTTTGATTTTGTTCATTTGTTTGTTTGAGGTGGAGTCTCGAAGCGTCACTCAGGCTAGAGTGCAGTGGCGCAATCTTGGCTCACTGCAACCTCCATCTTTCAGGTTCAAATGATTCTCCTGCCTCAGCCTCCCAAGTAGCTGGGATTACAGGCACCCGCCGCCATGCCCGGTTAATTTTTTCTATTTTTAGTAGAGATGAGATTTCACTATGTTGGTCAAGCTGACCTTGTGATATGCCCGCCTTGGCCTTCCAAAGCGCTGAGATTACAGGCATGAGCCACCATGCCCAGCCCAAATAAATAGTTTTTAATTGGCTTGATACTTTCCTTGTCTCATTTTGATTTTGTTTAACCTATACCTCTGTGACTGAGCAGTTCTTTTTTTCACCTCTGGCCTCTAGGTGTATAGAAGTGTTCTGCTGAAAAGTATTCCAAGAGAAGTTGTGGCATATAATAAAAATATAAATGATGACTTTGAAATGATAGATTGTGGTAAGTTATCCAATTTAACATGCTATATGTAAAACATATTGGATGACACTGTACATAATATAGTGGGTATCAGACAACATGGAAATGTGAATCCTGAGGAGGTAAGATGGACAATACACACATGTTTTGAAAACAAATAAGTTTGAGATTAGAATGTGCTGGTATAGTGTATTAAAACTATTAATTTGTCCCCTGTTAATTGTGTTTTGGAAGAAGTTTTCTAGTCTATTTATACATGTTAATGAAACACATAAAAGAAACTTAATAAAATTGTAAAATCTGAATAACAGAGAAAACAAGGTAGCTGACAGTAATCTTCCTGAGGAGTCTGTTAACAAAATGTCCTGTTCAGGTGGGGTGTGGTGGCTCACACCTGTAATCCCAGCCCTTTGGGAGGCCGAGGCGGGCAGATCACCTGAGGTCGAAAGTTTGAGACCAGCCTGACCAACATGGAGAAACTTCATCTCTACTACACATACAAAATTAGCCAGGCATGGTGGCACATTCCTGTAATCCCAGCTACTCGGGAGGCTAAGGTGGGAGAATTGCTTGAACCCAGGGCCGGAGGTTGCAGTGAGCCAAGATGGCACCATTGCACTCCAGCCTGGGCAACAAGAGCAAAACTCTGTCTCAAAAAAAAAAGACAAACAAAAAAGACAAAACATCCTGTTCATATAAGTATTATGTATAGGTAATTCTGCTACCACAGGCAAGAATGCACCCTCTTGCCACTGTCATGCTAAAACTTCAGGCGCCAATTATCTTTTTTTCAAAGAAAGGAAAATCAAATGTTTAGTCTTCATGCACCTCTTCCACCTACATCCTTTCCCTTGTCTCATCTTTCCATGTATTTAAAGTATAAATAATACATACATGTGTATATAGATACTGTGATTTTTTTTTTTTTTTTTTTGAGACAGAGTTTTGTTCTCTCACCTACACTGGAGTGCAGTGGCATGATCATGACTCACTACAGCATTGACCTCCCAGGCTTAAGCAATACTCCCACCTCAGCCTCCTGAGTAGCTGGAACTACAGGCATGTGCCACCACCCTGGCTAATTTTTATATTTTTCGTAGAGACATGTTTTTACCATGTTTGCTCAGGCTGGTTTCAAAATCACGAATTCAAGTGATCCACTCACCTCAGCCTCCCAAAGTATTGAGTTTACAGTCATGAGCCGTGTGCCAAGCCTAGGTACTGTGATTTCCTCAGTCCCACAGTGTGAGACATTTAGGTCATTTTCCCTTCCTTTTCCCTTTCTCCTTCCCCTCCCTTCCCCCTTGTTTCTTTTCTTTTCTTTTGTCAGACAGGATCTCACTCTGTTACCCAGGCAGGACTGCAGTGACGAAATCATTACTCACAGCAGCCTTGACTTCGGGACTCATTCCATCTCAGTCTTTCTGCCACACCCAACTAATTTTTTGTAGAGGTTGGATTTTGCCATGATACCCAGGCTGGTCTCCACCTCCTGGGCTCAAGCAATCTACCCACCTCAGCCTCCCAAAGTGTTGAGATGACAGGTGTGAGCCACCATGCCTGGCCAAGTTGCTTCTACTTACGCACAGCTCTGTGATGATCATTATTTGTAGCTTAATCTTTAGGCCACATCCTTAGGATAAATTTTTTTTTTTTTTGAGACAGAGTCCTGCACTGTCGCCCAGGCTGTAGTACAGTGGCGCAATCTCAGCTCACTGCAATCTCCGCCTCCCAAGTTCAAGGGATTCTCCTGCCTCAGCCTCCCGAGTAGCTAGGACTACAGGCATGTGCCATGACACCCAGCTACTTTTTTTTGTATTTTTAGTAGGGACGGGGTTTCACCATGCTGGCCAGGATGGTCTCAATCTCCTGACCTCATGATCCGCACGCCTCAGCCTCCCAAAGTGCTGGGATTACAGGCGTGAGCCATCATGCCTGGTAGGATAAATTCTTAGGAGAAAATGTGCTGAATTAAAACAAATTTTTTAATTACAAAAACAATGAGGCTGGGCACAGTGGCTCATGCCTATAAACCCTGCACTTTGGGAGGCCGAGATGGGTGGATCACCTGAGGTCAGGAGTTCAAGACCACCCTGGCCAACATGGTGAAATCCCCATCTCTAAAAAAAAAAAAAAATTTTTTTTAAAGAAAAATAACAATTCAAAAATATCCATAATCATTATGGTGTCCATTGGGATATAAACTTTTTTTTTTTTTTTTAGACAGAGTCCTACTCCGTCACTAGGCTGGAGTGCAATGGTGCGATCTCAGCTCACTGAAACCTCTACCCCCCAGGTTCAAGCGATTCTCTTGCCTCAGCATCCCGAGCAGCTGGGACTATAGGCGCGCACCACCACATTCAGCTGATTTTTGTATTTTTAGTAGAGACGGGGTTTCACCATGTTGGCCTGGATGGTCTTGATCTCTTGACCTTGTGATCTGCCTGCCTCAGCTTCCCAAAGTGCTGAGATTACAGGCATGAGCTACCGTGCCCGGCCGGGTAGAAACTTTTAACATTTCATTCCCCAAAAAGATCTTTTAATAATGTCCTAGAATCTGACTCCATTTGAGGATAATAGGCCAAACTCAATTCTTTTTATGTAAGTGTATTATTCTGGAGCCTTTTCAAGGCAGTGAGGAGTACATAAGATAGTAACCCTGGCCAGGTGGAGTGGCTTACACCTGTAATCCCAGCATTTTGGGAGGCCAAGGTGGGTGGATCACCTGAGGTCAGGAGTTTGAGACCAGCCTGGCCAACATGGTGAAATCCTGTCTCTACTAAAAATACAAAAATTAGCTGGATGTGGTGGTGGGCACCTGTAATCCCAGCTACTCAGGAGGCTGAGGCAGGAGAATTGCTTGAACCGAGGAGGTGGAGGTTACAGTGAGCCAAGATCATGCCACTGCATCCCAGCCTGGGTGACAGAGTGAGACTTCATCTCAAAAAAAAAAAAAAAAAAAAAAAAAAAAGCCAGGCTCGGTGGCTCATGCCTGTAATCCCAGCACTTTGGGAGGCCAAGGTGCATGGATCACGAGATCAGGAGTTCAAGACCAGCCTGGCCAAGATGGTGAAACCCCATCTCTACTAAAAATACAAAAATTATCTAGGTGCAGTGGCAGGTGCCTGTAATCCCAGCTACTTAGGAGGCTGAGGCAGGAGAATTACTTGAGCCCGGGTGGCAGAAGTTGCAGTGAGCTGAGATCACGGCTCTGCTACACTCCAGCCTGGGTGACAGAGTGAGACTCCGTCTTAAAAACAAAAACAAAAAAACAGACAGTAACCCTGACAAACTATTAAAAAGGCTTTTTCTATATCTGTTATACATGTTGCTTGCCTATCCAGAATGGTTTTTCTGTTCCTACAAAACCAAACATCAGAGGTCAGCTAGAAAGCTGTGGATCCCTTGCATGTTTTGTGTTTTTTCTGTGAGAAACTAACTCCTGGCAAGTATCTGAGATAAAAGAACAGTGAAGTTCTGAGAGTAGAAGTAAGCAAAAGATAAGAGATGATGATTTTTGTTTTGTTTTCTTTTTGATAAGTATCTGCCAAAGAAGCTTGAGGTGACTGAAGTTTTGCCACTTCCTGTGTATATAGTTTTCTGCTACACAATTTTTTTTTTTTTTTTTTGAGACAGTCTTGCTTGTCACCCAGGCTGGAGTACAACGGCACGATCTCAGCTAACTGTAACCTACGCCTTCCGGATTCAAGTGATTTCCTGCCTCAGCCTCCTGAGTAGTTAGGATTACAGGCACCTGCCACCACACCTAGCTAATTTTTGTAGTTTTAGTAGAGATGGCGTTTTGTCATATTGTCCAAGCTGGTCTTGAACTCTGACCTCAGGTGATCCGCCTGCCTCAGCCTCTAAAAGTGCTGGGATTACAGAGGTGAGCCACCACACTCTGCCTTACATACAGTTATTAACTAGATATTTATTAGCAAGTAAGCAAAAAACCATTGTTACAGATCCTGTACAGTGGTGATGGCACAAGTCAGGGAAAATATCCAGGGATAATGAACTCAGGAATTCTGGCACTCAAAAAGAGAGTGATAAAATCCCAGCACTTTGGGAGGCCAAACCAGGATTGCTTGACCCCAAGAGTTCAAGACCAGTGTGGGTAACATAGTGAGAGCCCATTGCTACAAAACATTTAAATAATTAGGGCCAGGCCTGGTGGTTCATGCCTGTAATCCAAGCACTTTGGGAGGCCAAGGTGAGTGGATTGCAAGGTCAAAGGTTGAGGCCAGACTGGCCAATATGGTGAAACCCTGTCTCTACTAAAATTACAAAAATTAGCTGGCATGGTGGCAGGTGCCTGTAGTCCCAGCTATTCAGGAGGCTAAGGCAGGAGAATTGCTTGAACCCAGGAGACGGAGGTTGCAGTGAACTGAGATCAAGCCATTGCACTCCGAATCTGGGCGACAGAGGGAGAGACTGTCTCAAAAAAAAAAAAATTTTTTTTTTTTTAAATTTTAAAAATTAGCTACATGTGGTGGTGGATGCCTATAGTCCAAGCTATACAGAAGGCTGAATTGGGGATGTTGGCTTAAGCCCAGGATGTCAAGGCTGCACTGAGCCATCCATGATCTTATCACTGTACTCCAGACAGAGCAAGATCCTATCTCAAAAAAAAAAGAAGAAAAAAAGAAAAAACGAAAGATAAAAGTTATATAGGAAGATATACAATCAAACAAGTCTATATTCAGATAAGCCACCTTCCAGTTCTTGGAGCTTTGGCTAGCTGCTTTGACCTAGACTTGGATACACCAAAGAACACCAACTTAGGAAGAACAGTGGTTCTATAAACAAATTAGTTATGGGTGGTAAAATAACTACTGTTTAAAAAGCACACACACACAGTTTGTGTATACTATGCAGTAAGTTCAGATGGCCCAGTTCTCTTGTCTGACCACCACCCATAGAAAAGATTTGCTCAAGAACAGGTGCCAAGATTTCAAATGCAGGATTCAGTCAACCTTAAAGCTAGCATCAAGCAAATACCATGGATCAGAATTCAGGGCTAGACATGGGACTTCTCAGAGCTTTTAGCCTTACATTATCACCCCTAAGAGTAAAGCTGAGAGACTTCACTGGATCTTTCATCCCTTTCATGCTATTGAGGGCAGTGTCTCAAATATTTTAGCCAAGCTGCTTATCTTAAATACTTTTTATCTCTTGAACATGAGCTCATTTTTAGCATTAGTCACACTTAATAAACATTCACTATTTTCTTTTTTGAGACAAAGTTTCGCTTTTGTTGTCCAGGCTGCAGTGGGATGGCACAATCTCAGCTCACTGCAACCTTTGCCTCCTGGGTTCAATTGATTTTCCTGCCTCAGCCTTCTAAGTAGCTGGGATTACAGGCATGCATCATCGCGCCTGGCTAATTTTGTGTTTTTAGTAGAGATGGGGTTTCTCCATATTGGTCAGGCTAGTCATCCACCCACCTCAGCCTCCCAAAGTGCTGGGATTACAGACATGAGCCACCACACTTGCCAACATTCACTCTTTTCATCAGTAAAGACCCATTTCTGGCCGGGCATGGTGGCTCACACCTGTAATTCCAGCATTTTGGGAGGGTAGGGTGGGCGGATCACTTGAAGTCAAGAGTTCAAGACCAGTCTGGCCAACACGGTAAAACTCCATCTTTACTAAAAATACAAAGATTAGCTGGGCATGGTAGTGCATGCCTGTAATCTCTGCTATTGGGGAGCCTGAGGCAGGAGAATTACTTGAACCTGGGAGGCAGAGGTTACAGGGAACTGAGACTGTGCCACTGCATTCCAGCCTAGACAACAGAGCAAGACTCCATCTCAAAAAAAAAAAAAAAAAATTCTGACCTTGAGTATGTTAATGAGAAAACCATTGGTCATTGACTGAGATATGCCTAACAGAAACTGTTGTAGTGAAGAATGAATTTCCTGATTAAAACACCAGCTCTCTCCTCATAGGCCATGCATTCTTCAATATCCTGTTAGCAGACCACCCAAGACTTGCAGTCTTGATTAGAATACTTGTGAGACCCAGATTATAGCTTAAGTAACACAAACATAACACTGTACTCAAGTGTTTGTAGTTAATTGAAAACTTTATATTACTTCCTTAGAAACTTGTTTTAAGGATTAAAAAGAATTATATTTAGGCTAGATGTGGTGGCTCATGCTTGTAATCCCAGCACTTTGGAAGGCTGAGGCAGGAGGATCCCTTGAGCCCAGGAATTAAAGACCAGCATGGGCAACACAATGAAAAAAACAAAAATAAAAAATTAGCTGGGCATGGTGGCTCAGGCCTGTAGTCCCTACTACTTGGGAGGCTGAGGCAGGAAGGTCATTTGAGTCCAGGAATTTGAGATTGTAGTGAACTATGATTCGCACCACTGCGCTCCAGCCTGGGTGATAGAGTAAGATCTTGTCTCAAAAAAAAAAAAAAAAAAATATATATATATATATATATATATATATATATATATATATAATATAACATTATATATAAATTATAAATATATATAATATATAGATAATTATATGTATGTATGTGTGTATATACATACACACACACACAGTCATGCACCATAATGACATTTCAGTGATGGCCCACATATACAACAGTAGTCTTAGAAGATATAATGCTGTATTTTTACTATACCTTTTCTATGTTTAGATATATTTAGATGCACAAATACTTGCCATTGTGATATATTGCCTGCATTATTCAGTACAGTAACATGCTGTACAGATTTATAACTTAAGAGCAATATGCTCTACCATCCAGCCTAGGTATGTAGTTGGCCACGTAATCTAGGTTTGTGTAAGTATACTCTATGATAGTCTCATGACAAAATCATTTCAACAAAGCATTTCTGAGAAGATAACCCATCATTATGCAATACACAACTATGTATACACATACACATATATATAATATTTAGTAGAAGGCTTGTTCATAGTAAATCCTGTAATAGCTGTTATTATTTATAAGCTATTTTATACAATAAATAAGCTATATATGTAATATCTATAAGCTATTACATACAATATCAAATGTATTGTATTTTGTTAATGAGTATGGCTTTTTTTTTTTTTTTTTTTGCTAGAGATGGGGCCTCAGTATGTTGCCCAGACTGGTCTTGAACTCTTGGGCTCAAGTAATCCTCCCACCTCAGCCACCCAAAGTGCTGGAATTACAGGCATAAGCCACCACACCTGGCTGAGTTGGTTTTTTAAATGTCTTTTTTTTTTCTTTAGTTTTTTTTTTATTTTAGAGATGAGATCTTGCTCTGCTGCCTAGGCTGGAGTGTAGTCAGGCGATCATAGGTGACTGCAAACTTGATTTCATTGGTTCAAGCGGTCCTCTCATCTCAGCCTCCCGAGTAGCTAGGGCTAAAGGCGCATGCCACCACACCTGGTTAATCTTTAAAATTTTTTATGGAGACAGGGTTTCACCACACCCAGCCTCCCACAGTTGTAAATGTTTGGTTCATTCAAATAAAGTATAGTTCCTTACCTTACTTAAATATTAACAACTGGAATTGGAATGACACAGAAATACGAAGACATTACAGTTTCTGTCTCAAGAAATTTCCTATCCAAGGAGGACATTAAATAATTTTAGGCCATGTATCATCACTAATGTCTGTAATCCCAGCACTTTGGGAGGCCAAGGTGGGAGGATCACTTGAGCCCAGGAGATAGAGGCCAGCCTAGACAACATAGGGAGACCCCATCTCTACAAAAGGTTAAAAAAAAAAAGAAAGCCGGGTGTAGCAGCATGCAACTGTAGTCCCAGCTACTCAGGAGGCTGAGGCAAGAGGATCAAGAACCTGTCATACAACCAGAACAAAAGAAATAATTTTAATTGATCCATATAATGAGAATAACCTAGAAGAGCTGTTACCAAGTCAGTATGCTTTAGAATACTGGGGAATAGTGTTTCCCAGAATGGTAGTATAAGTGTTTTAGGGGAAGAGAGAGACTATATATAAAAAATTGGGGAAGTATGGAATCAAACTAACATGTGAGTTATTTTTTTTCCCCCAACTGCAGTACTTCTCAGAGCCCAATACTAACATGCATTCTGAATTTCCAATATTACATACAACATTTCCTCAACTTTATTTAACCACACAGCTACCCTCCTTCCCCAGTCAAGATCCTTTAAAAATAACAGAAGTGGGCCATGTACGGTAGCTCATGCCTGAAATCTCAGCACTTTGAGGGTCAAGGTAGGCGGATCATGAGGTTAGGAGTTGGAGACCTGTTTGGCCAACATAGTGAAACCCCATCTCTACTAAAAATACAAAAAATTAGCCAGGCATGGTAGCATGTACCTATAATCCCAGCTACTCGGGAGGTTGAGGCAGGAGAATCACTTGAACCCAGGAGGCAGAGGTTGCAGTGAGCCAAGATCGCACCACTGCACTTCCACCCAGGCAACATTGCGAGACTTCATCTCAAAAATATATAAATAAATTAATTAAAATAACAGAAGTAAAAAAGATATATCCAAATTAGGACTGAGATCCCCTGGGGCTGTTTGGCCTTTGAACCAAGTTTGAGTTTTCTGGTTTTCCTAAAATGAAGGCATGCTTCTACCCATGTTCTCAAACTTTGCAGTATATTGAGAATGAGAGCTTTTTTCATATATATGCTAAATTCTTTTTAATTGGCAGTGGTTTTCTTAGCTTTTCTAAACACATGGTTCTTGTATATACAGGTAGATGATAGTTTGTAATACTCTGTAATACTCTTCCTCCCGAAAAAATAGTAGGACAAAGTTCTGCCTGGTTTCACAAGCTATCCCAGAGTTGTACCAATAAATAGGAAACTGTTGGGGCAAGCTATCATCTTACAGTTGAAGGTGTTCACTAAAATCTGAACATTGGTTCCTGATCAGGGTTCCTGTTGTACGTGGTGTAATCAGGCTCTTAGAATACCTGTTACCTACCATGTATTTGCAGAGAAATAAACCTAATTCATTTTGCTTTTTCCTTAACCTCTCAGGATATGCTTTACCTTTTAGAATCTTTCCACCTTTCTCAAAGAGCCGAGAAGAAATATCTACAGTCCCTTCTGTTATCTGAAGCTGGGGTTTGCCTCTGCCTCCCATACTGTAGAACTTAGCTAAACACTAGCCCAAAGCTGTTGTCCCTCTAAGAGCCACCAGTGACAGTAAGCTCAAAAGCTGTGGTTGTGAAAACATTCTGAAGTGGCATCTAGAGAAAAGAGCACCACCTTCAGTTCCTATGTTTGCATTTCTCTAGATTCCAATTTGACTTATAAGTAATACAGATGGATTTCTGAACCTTCTCTAAAAATACTGATTTCTCTACATAAAGATTTGTAGGATTTTCTTAATATTGTAGAAAGGTAATTTAAATCACCAACCTGTATATTAAAGTATGCTTTGTGGCTGGGCACTGTGGCTCATGCCTGTAATCTCAGCACTTTGAGAGGCTGAGGCAGGGGATCACTTGAGCCCAGGAGTTGAAAACCATCCTGGGAAACATGGCAAAACCCCATCTCTACTAAAAATAAAAATTAAAAAATAGCCAGGCATGGTAGTGCATGCTTATAGTCCCAGCTGCTCAGGAGGGTGACATGGGAGGACCACTTAAACCCAGGAGATCAGGGCTGCAATGAGCCAAGATTGTACCACTGCACTCCAGCCTGGATGACAAAGTGAGACCCTGTCTCAAAAACAAAAAAATAAAGTATGCTTTATATCACAACTTTGCATTCTTTTTAACAGACTTGGAAGATGCTGCAAAAACACCTGACTGTTCCAATGGATCAGTGAAAGAGGAAAGAGGTGATCTTATAAAATTTTACAATACAATATATGTAGGAAGAGTGAAGTCATTTGCACTGAAATACGACTTGTCGAATCAGGACCATGTGGTATGTTTTAAGTTTTACTATTTTATTATTATTTGCCGTCATAGTTGGATTACTCTGAGTTTATTTTGCTAGATAAATATGTCAAAGTTTAAAGCCCCACTGATGCATATATAGAAAATTAGTAGCAATTAATCAGAGCATGACTAGTAACTTCATCAGTGATTAAGGCTATGGTACAACAGATACCAGAGAAAATCATGAGATTTTTTTTTTTCTTTTTTTGAGACAGGTCTAACTCTGTTGCCCAGGCTAGAGTGCAGTGGTGCAATCTCAGCCCACTGCAACCTTTGCTTCCAGGGCTCAAGTGATCCTCCCACCTCAACTTCCCAAGTAGCTGGTACTACAGGTACATGCTACCACATCCAGCTAATTTTTTTGTATTTTTAGTAGATATTGGGTTTCACCATGTTGGCCAGGCTGGTCTCGAACTCCTGACCTCAGGTGATCTGCCCGCCTCAGCCTCCCAAAGTGATGGGATTACAGGCGTGAACCACCACACCTAGCAGGAATTTTAGCTGTACTGTGATTATGTTGCTAGAAATTCTATATACATATGGGTACTGACTTGATGGGGACATGAATATTAACAGTTAATTTGGTAATTTTTTTCTGTTGTTTTCTGTTTCTCTTGTTATATTATGAGATGAATGTGTTTCTCAAGATAAAGACAAAAGGGGCTGGGCATAGTGGTGGCTCATGCCTGTAATCCCAGCATTTTGGGAGGCTGAGGCGGGCAGATCACCTGAGGTCAGGAGTTCAAGACCAGCCTGGCCAACATGGTGAAACTCCGTCTCTATTAAAACTACAAAAATTAGCTGCACATGGTGGCGGGCGCCTGGAATCCCAGCTACTGAGGCTGAGGCAGGAGAACCACTTGAACCCAGGAGGTGGAGATTGCAGTGAGCCGAAATTGCTCCACTGCACTTCAGACTGGGCAACAAGAGCAAAACTGTCTCAAATAAAAAAAAGAGGCTGGATGCTGTGGCTCACACCTGTAATCCCAGCACTTTGGGAGGCCAAGGTTAGGGGATCACCTGAGGTCAGAAGTTCGAGACCAGTCTGGCCAACATGGTAAAACCCATCTCTACTAAAAATACAAAAGTTAGCTGGGCATGGTGGTGGGCACCTATAATCCCAGCTACTTGAGAGGCTGAGACAGGAGAATCACTTGAGCCTGGGAGGCAGAGGTTGCAGTGAGCCAAGACTCTGCCATTGCATTCCAGCCTGGGCAACAAGAACAAGACTTCACCTCAAAAAAAAAAAAAAAAAAAAAAAAAAGATGAAAGGAAGTAAATAGGCCTGGATTAACAAAATTACCAGATCAATTTTTTAATGAATATTACACAACTACTCAGGAAGCTAAGGTAGGAGGATCGCTTGGGCCCAGGAGGTCAAGGCTTCAGTGAGCCACAATCACACCACTGCACTACAAGAGAGTAAGATCCTGTCTCAAACAAAAAAGAAAGAAAAGAAAGAGGGCTGTAGCAGAAGCTGCATCCAGCCGGCCAATAGCTGTGTATATGTATCTGTGTGCATCTCTACATTTCTATTCTTCCTCTTTTCAAGGAATATGGTCTGTGACTATCCTCAGAGGTCAAAACTGTTCATCCTATTCCATCAGTTTCACTTCCTGTCTGTCATGTGCTATACCCTGAATATCTCTACCATCTTAATTTATTTCAATTATACAGGATATTAAAAAAAAAATTAAATCCTTGCTCACCAACTTATTTCTAAATTTTTTCTATTTCCATATGAAGTCCTTCCCATTTCATTAACAGATTTTTTCCATATTGGAATCATCCTGCTGGCTTACAGAATTCTCTGCCTCTCTTTGTTATCTCTGCTACTGCTTTGGTTGTGGGAGGTGTGTTTGTGGAGAGACTTATAGCAAATGTTAGAAGATTAGTTACTTTTTGCCTCCACTTTCTAAGCATGAATATGATGTTCTGATGCTCGTGGCTTACCACCTGGTATCTTGTCCAGGATTTTTTTTTTTCTTTTGAGACAGTCTCACTCTGTCATCCAGGGAGGAGTGCAGTGACACAATCTCAACTCACTGCAGCCTCCATCCCCTGGGGTCAAACAATTCTTGTGCTCAGCCTCCCAAGTAGCTGGGACTACAGGCACACACCACCATGCATGGCTAACTTTTATGTTTTTAGGACCTACTCAGGAGGCTGTAGTGGTGTTTCGCCATGTTGTCCAGGCTGTTCTCTAGCTCCTGTCCTCAAGTGATCTGAGCACCTTGGCCTCCCAAAGTGCTAGGATTATAGGATTGAGCCACTGCACCCCGATCCAGAATTTTTTTTTGAGTCAGAGTGTCATTCTGTCACTCAGGCTGGAGTGCAGTGGCACAACCGGGGCTCACTGCCACACCTCTCCCTCCTGGGTTCAAGTGATTCTAGTGCCTCAGCCTCCCAAGTAGCTCAGATTACAGGCATGTGCCACCATGCCCAGCTAATTTTTGCATTTTTAGTAGAGATAGCACAGTATTTCACTCTGTTGGCCAGGCTGGTCTCTGTGAGCCACCGTGCCAGGCCAGAATTCTATTTTTTTTTTTTAAATGGAGCCTTGCTCAGTCACCCAGTCTAGAGTGTAGTAGCATGATCTCAGCTCACTGCAGCCTCCACCTCCCTGCAGCCTCCACCTCCTGGGTTCAAGCAATTCTCCTGCCTCAGCCTGCTGATTAGCTGGGATTACATGTGCGTTCCACCACACCTGGCTAATTTTCAGATTATTAGTAGAGATGGGTTTTCACCATGTTGGTCAGGCTGGTCTTGAACTCCTGACCTTGTGATCCACCTGCCTCAGCCTCACAAACTGCTAGGATTGCAAGCATGAGCCACTGCAGCCTGCCAGAATTCTTAATACTAGTTATAGGACATCCTGAAAGATTCAGGAAAATAAATTCTTGTTTATCTGTTGTTAAAAAAAAAAAAAGTAATGGATTTTTTTTTTTTTTTTTTTTTTGCTTTTCTCAGCCATAAGTGAGCTTTTACAGTATAACTGATTCCTAACTAGGAGTCACCATAAGAATAAAAATATGAGATTCAAAAACAAAAGAAACACTTTTATCTAAAAATCTGACTTTTGGGTTATTTTAGATGGATGTTCCACCACTCTCTCCTTTTCCTCATATTAAACAACAGCCAGGCTCGCCGCGCCGCATTTCCCAACAGCACTCCATTTATGTTTCCCCTCACAAGAATGGGTCAGGCCTTACACCAAGAAGTGCTCTGCTGTACAAGTTCAATGGTAGCCCTTCTAAGGTAAGGTGATACAGGCTTTACTCCAAAGCAACTTACATACATACATAGGTTAAAGGTTGGATTTCAGATTAACAGTCAACAATTGTTAATCTTGCCTCTTTTTTTTTTTTTTTGACCAAGTTACTACTGTGCTAACAAAATATGAACTGCTAACTATGGCATGTCTCCTCTCATCAAGAGCAGTGTCTTCAGTTTGAGGTAGTTTAATCCATTATTATTGACATGGTCTTTGTGGAGTTCACTTTGAAAGTCCCCAGCATGTTTCTCTGTTCAAGCAAGATCTTGAAAAGGGACCAGTAAGGCAATACCTGCACGTGGTCAGACATGGGGCATGATGTCAAGTGTAAAGAAAGGTGTTGGATGTGAAAGTGCATTTAGTGGAGGGTAACCAGGAAAATGTCTAAAAACAGAAGCCTCCTCTTATGTGCATAGACAACTCTGTGATTATCTCCATCCTTATCCCTGTTCAACAATGAAGATGTGATGGACATAATTGCTGTTTTCACATACTTTATGGACTATCAAGCAGATATGTTCAGTATGTTTCCAGAAGTCAAAATCAGTATAAACTGAAAGAAATTGTAGTGGGGCACATTGTAACTCAGTCCAAATACAGTGGCTGCTTCTTAACTCATTACTTTGTTATTCAGTTACACAGATACCTATAGAGTTCCTACTATACTTGATAAAGTTGACTAGGATAATATACCTGACTGGGCATAGTGGCTCAAGCCTATAATCCTAGCACTTGGGGAGGCCAAGGCAAGGATTGAGCCCAAGAGTTGAAGGGCAACATACCAGGCCGCCATCTGTACAAAAAAAATTTTTAAAAGCAAAACAATTATCTGGGTTTGGTGACATGCACCTATAGTCCCAGCTACTCAGGAGGCTGAGGTGGGAAAATCACTTGAGCCCTGGAGGCTACAGTGAGCTGTGATTGCACCACTGCACTCTGACCTGGGTGACAGAGTGGAACCCTGTCTCAAAAAACAAAAAGATTCACTTCTTCATGGACTTATATTTCTTCCTTTTGCAAATTTATTTCCCATAAGGATGTTCAGAAGAGATTGCTGCATGGAGTCAAAGATTGACTTGACTTCTAAGACAGTGATTCTGAAATCATGAATCAGAATCACCTGGGGAGCTTGTTGAATGCAGATACCTGTCCCACAGACCTTGTGAATAACAAATCATCAGCTAGCAGGTCTAGGACTCTATGACATGCTCCCTATAATTGTTATATACGTGGATTTCAAGAACCACTTCTCTGCAACCTTGTTACTCAGAGTATGGTTCATGGACCAGCAACATCAGGATCACCTGGGAGCTTGTGAGAATTCCAAAATCTCAGGCCCTACACCAGCCCTACTAATTTTGAATCTGCAGGTTAACAAGATCTTTAAATAATTAGTAAGTGCATTAAAGGTTGAAAAGCAGCTAGGCGAGGTGTCTTACACTTGTAATCCTAGCACTTTGGGAGGCCAAGAGGGAAGGATTGCTTGAGTGCAGGCGTTGAAGACTAACCTGGGCAACATGACGAAACCCCGTCTTTGCTAAAAATACAAAAAATTAGTCAGACATGGTGGCTCACGCCTATAATCCCAGCACTTTGGGTCCCAGCACTTTGGGAGGCCAAGGCAAGTGGATCGCCCTAGGTTGGGAGTTCGAGACCAGCCTGACCAATATGGTGAAACCCCATCTCTACTAAAACTACAAAAAAAATAGCCAGGCATGGTGGCATGCACCTGTAGTCCCAACTAGGGAGGCTAAGGCAAGAGAATCGCTTGAATCCAGGAGGCAGAAATTGCAGTGAGCCAAGATTGTGCCCTGCACTCCAGCCTAGGCAACAACAACAAAAAAGCTTCTGCTGCTTCTAGTCTGGGTACTACGCATTGAGAACTACTGTTCTACAGTAAATTCAAATTTTTTTTTTTTTTTTTTTGAGACAGGGTCTCATTCTGTTGCCCAGGCTGAAGTACAGTGGCATGATCACTGCTCACTGCAGCCTCCACCTCCCCAGGCTCAGGTAATGCTCCCACCTTAACCTCTTGAGTAGCTGGGACTACAGGCACAAGCCACCACACCTGGCTGATTTTTGTATTTTTTATAGAGACTGGGTTTGCCCTGTTGCCCAGGCTGGTGTCAAACTCCTGGGCTCAAGTGATCAAACCATCTTGGCCTCTCAAAGTGCTGGTATTATAGGCCACCACACCTGGCCTTAAATCTGATTTTTTAAACTATCTGAAAAGATTAGTTCTAGCCATCCCTTATTAGGTTGTTCTAACTTTAAAAAAGAATCATTATCCCATTGTTAAGATTTGGATAGAGGATAGAGCGCAGGAAAAAACAATTAACTTGGTTGTTTGCTGCCATTTTCCCTCTCCTTCTTTTATTCACACACTTTCTGTTTCTGTACAGAGTTTGAAAGATATCAACAACATGATAAGGCAAGGTGAGCAGAGAACCAAGAAGCGAGCAATAGCCATCGATAGTGATGCAGAATCCCCTGCCAAACGTGCCTGTCAAGAAAATGATGATGTTTTACTGAAACGACTACAGAATGTTGTCAGTGAGAGAGCAAGTCATTAATGTTGTTGTTTCTGTGATAAAAGCACTTTCAGATCATTCTGCAGAAAGTTGGAGCTCTGTCCTTCAAACCTTTTTGGCCCTATAGATGGTAAATATCACTGGGTTATAAGAAAAAATTGCACAAAAATTATGTGCTTTTAATACCCAAAATGTGGTTGACAGAGATGTATTTTAAGTTGGATTGGAAAGGAATATTTTAAGTGCCTTTTAAAAATATTAATAGTCAAGGAATTTTTTTTTTAATGTGTGCTCCTTGGGTTAGTTTTCAAGATGAAATAAGGAGAAACCCTGTAACTTTTTAGCTCTCTTTTAAAAATAAATGTCTCCTTCTTCTGAGCTTTGTAATATGAGGATAAATAATCTACTTTTGGTAAGCATGCTTTCAGATATTTGTATTCTCAATTTAATTGAAGGAGAGGGTTGGTTCCCAGAGTACCTGAGCCAGAGGGTGATGTACCAGCCTGTCTCTGGCCCACTGTGGTAATTACACATCCAGGTGCCACCACCATTCAGGGTTGTCTCACCCCTTCTCATGCCTTTTCTCTCCTTGAGCAAAAGCAGATTTGCACCTGAGCCCCAGTGCTACCCTTATCCTTGCTTTTAAGCCCTAAGCCATATTAGCCTGATGTTACAAACCAAAAAATGGGCTACTTTTTCTTTTGTAAACTATCATTTTGGTTTCTGTGGCATTAACTTAATCATGCATGATCGCGTTAACTCATGTAGTTCTCAAAATTGGCAGCTGCTTCTCAACCCAGTAGAATAAAATTCAGTTAGTTATTAAAAGCTAAATTTCCTGTTAGTAAGGTAACATCTTGATGATGTATGGTATACTATTTTTCACATCGTACTATCAGTCATGTCTAATTGAGTCCCTAAGAATATTTGAAAACGTTTAAAAAACCACATAAATATCATCTCATGCCTCATAATTCTAATATATTGAATACATCAGTAAAACAGCTGATTATTACTTCCCCCAACTTTGTTCTCAGTATTATTAGTGCATCATGAGTTTCCTGCTAGTGTTTGACCACTGGGTACTCCCGAAGATGTTTTCCAGTACTAGGGATGCAGCTTTCCAAAATATCACCTCTTTAACATTTACTTTTTCTAATATGTGTCCAGAATCCAGAGGGTATGGATAAGCCATTCATAGTTTATTTTGAGAACTTTTATCAAATCTTTATGTTTCTAACTGCAAACCTTAATTTTTGAAAGGCACAATGTTTAACTCACCTGTTTTTAACCAGGCTAATTTAAAATAGTCTAAGATTTGGCTGTCACTAATTAGTATTCTCAAGAATTTTATTTTTCTATTTTTAAGAAGAAAAGGGATTTTGGTCACATTTTGCTTGTAAATGAAAATTACATCCTCATTCTTTGTGTAGTATCTACACATTGTTATAAGCCAAATAACAAAATCTGTCTTGAATCCTTGTACATATTTGTATGTCGCCATAACTGTTGTATCATTTTTATCTTCATTATTATGCAAAATGTAAATGAGCATTTGTACATTGACTGTATAAGAAACCCTGGGCTGGGTGCTGTGGCTCATGCCTATAATCCCAATACTTGGGAGACCAAGGGAGGAGGATTGCTTCAGTCCAGGAGTTCAAGACCAACTTGGGCAACATAGTGAGCCCTCATCTGTACAGAAAAATTTAAAAATTAGTTGGGCATGGTGGCATGTGCCTGTAGTCCCAGCTACTCAGGAGATTGACAGGAGAGGATCACTTGAGGCCAGGAGATTGAGGCTGTAGTGAGCTGTGATTACACCACTACACTCCATCCTAGGTGAGAGGGTGAGACCCTGTCTCAGAAAAGAAAAAAAAAAGAAATTCTGGACATGTTTTACCATTTTCAGGACTTGCTATCAATGTACATAAAATGGCTAATAAAAATTGGAATTGAGATTATTGAAAAAAACTATTTTTTATATGACTAGAAGCAATTATACAGCCATCTAAAATCTGTCTTTTTAAATACCTACTTATGTCTTTAAGTTTTCTTAGTCTAACTTAATGGTTCCTGTGATTTCCAGGGTCTAGGGGGAAAACAAAAAATAACTGCGTAATGAATATAGAGTTTTTTGGGGGGGAGTGATAAAACTGTTTTGGAACTTGATATAGGTGGTATAGTTGCATAACATTGTGAATTTACTAAATGCCACTGTATTGTACACTTTAAAATGGTTAATTTTGTGTTATGTAAATTTCACCTTAGTTTTTTTTTAAGTCTTAGATATTATATTAGTCTGTTTTCACACTGCTGATGAAGACACATCCAAGACTGGAAAGAAAAAGAGATTTAATGGACTTACAGTTCCACGTGGCTGGAAGGCCTCACAATCATGGTGAAAGGCAAGGACGAGCAAGTCATATCTTACATGGATAGGGGCAGGCAAAGGGAGAGCTTATGCAGGGAAACTCCCATTTTTAAAAGAAACAGATCTTGTGAAACACATTCATTCTGGTCACCAGAACCGCCCAGGAAAGACCCGCCCCCACAATTCAATCACCTCCCACTGGGTTCCTCCAACGACACAGGAATTGTGAGAGTTACAATTCAAAATGAGATTTGGGTGAAGACACAGCCAAACCATATCATTCTACCCCTGGCTCCTCCTCCCAAATCTCATGTCGTCACATTTCAAAACCAATCATGCCTTCCTAACAGTCCCCCAAAGTCTTAACTCATTTCAGCATTAACCTAAAAGTCCACAGTTCAACATCTCATCTGAATCTGAGGCAGTCAGTTCTATCTATGAGCCTGTAAAATCAAAAGACAAGTAAGATACTTCCTAGCTACAATGGGGGCACAACCACTGGGTAAATATAGCCATTTCAAATAAGAAAAACTGGCCAAAACAAAGGGGCTACAGGCCCCATGCAAGTAAGTCTCAAATCCAGCAGGGCAGTGAAATCTTAAAGCTCCAAAATGATCTCTTTTGACTCCATGTTTCACATCCAGGTCATGCTGATGCAAGAGGTGGGTTCCCATGGTCTTGGACAGCTCCACCTCTGTGGTTTTGCAGGGTACGACCTCCCTCCTGGCTGTTTTCACAGACTGGCATTGAGTGTCTGCAACTTTTCCAGGCACATGGTACAAGTTGTCAGTGGATCTACCATTCTGGGGTCTGAAGGACAGTGGCCCCCTTCTCACTGCTCCACTAGGTGGTGCCCCAGTAGGGACTCCATGGTGCCTCCAACCCTACATTTCTTTTTCACACTGCCCTAGCAGAGGTTCTCTATGAGAGCCCTGCCCCTACAACAAACTTTTGCCTGGACATTAGGCGTTTTCTTACATCCTCTGAAATCTAGGCAGAGGTTCCCAAACCTCAATTCTTGACTTTTGTGCACTCACAGGATCAACACTACATGGAAGCTGCCAAGGCTTGAGGCTTGCACACTCTGAAGCCATGACCCTTTCAGTCACAGCAGGAGTGGCTGGGATGTAGAGTACTAAGTCCCTAGGCTGCAACCAGCACTGGGACGCTGGACCCAGCCCAAACCACTTTTTCCTCTTAGGTCTCCAGGCCTGTGATGGAAGGGGCTGCGATGAAGATCTCTGACATGCCCTGGAGACATTTTCCCCATTGTCTTGGTGATTAATATTCAGCTTCTCGTTGGTTATGCAAATTTCTGCAGCCAGCTTGAATTTCTCCTAGAAAATTGGATTATCTTTTCTATCACATTGTCAGTCTGTAAATTTTCTGAACCTTTATGCTCTGCTTCTCTTATAAAACTGAATGTCAGCCAGGCATAGTGGCTCACGCCTGTAATCCCAGCACTTTGGGAGGCTGAGCTGGGCAGATCACATGAGGTCAGGAGTTCAAGACCAGCGTGACCAACATGGCAAAACCCCATCTCTAAAAAAAACAAAAAAAAATGCCTTTAATAGCACCCAAGTCACATCTTGAATGCTTTGCTGCTTAGAAGTTTCTTTCACTAGATACCTTAACTCATCTCTCTGAAGATCAAGTTCCACAAATCTCTAGGGCAGGGGCAAAATGCTGCCAGTCTCTTTGCTAAAACGTTAACAAGAGTCACCCTTACTCCAGTTCACAACAATTTCCTCATCTCAATCTGAGATCACCTCAGCCTGGATTTCATTGTCAATATCATCAGCATTTTCATCAAAGCCATTCAGCAAGTCTCTAGAAAATTCCAAACTATCTCAAGTTTTCCTGTCTTCTTCTGAGCCCTCCAAACTGTTCCAACCTCTGCCTGTTACCCAATTCCAAAGTCACTTTCACATATCTGGGTATCTTTTTCAGTAGCACCACACTTTTGGTACCAATTTACTGTATTAGTCCATTTTCATGCTGCTGATAAAGACATACCTGAGATTAGGAAGTAAAAGAGGTTTGATGGACTTACAGTTTCATATGGCTGGGGAGGCCTCACAATCATGACAAAAGGCAAGGAGGAGCAAGTCACATCTTACATGGATGGTGGCAGGCAAAGAGAGAGCTCATGTAGGAAAACTATTTAAAACCATCAGATCTCATGAGATGTATTCACTGTCATGACAACAACCCAGGAAAGACCCACCCCCATAATTTAATCACCTCCCACCAGGTTCCTCTCACAACATGTGGAAATTGTGGGAGTTACAATTCAAAATGAGATTTGGATGGGGATACAGCCAAACCATATCAGATACATATGAAGAAACAGGATTATTTCAAGGCCTTAGAATAAACATGTGGACTAAGTTATAGTTAATTAAGGAAAAGGCTCATTTCTCTCTTTGGAGTGATTTCAAGGTGTATTTCTCCACATGAGACTTACAGCTTAAAAATTCTTTTTTTTTTTTTTCCTCGAGACAGTGTCTCCCACTTGTTGCCCAGACTAGAGTGCAATGGCATGATCTTGGCTCACTGAAACCTCTGCCTTGGTTCAAGCAATTCTCCTTTTGCCTCCCAAGCAGCTGGGAATATGGGTGCACATCACCATGTCGAGCTTATTTTTTGTATTTTTATTTTTTTGTTTGTTTTTAGCAGAGACAAGCTTTCACCACATTGGCAAGGCTGGTCTTGAACTCCTGACCTCAGGTGATCCACCTGCCTTGGCCTTTCAAAGTGCTGGGATCACAGATGTGAGCCACTGCTCCCAGTCGAGAGTTTATTAAAAAGTTTTGGAGCAGTAATGAAAGGAAGCAAAACATACTTGAAAGAGGGCCAAGTGGATGACTTGAAAGATCCCAGTGCCCTGTTCAGCCCTCAACTTGGGGTTTTATACACTGGCATTGTTCTGGGATTTTCTTTTCTCTTTGATTCTTCCCTTGGGAGTGGGCTGTTGCTCAACTACCATATACACAACTACCATACGCACCGGGTTTCTCTCACAACATGTGGGAATTGTGGGAGGTTGGTCAGCACTTGATATGATGACCATATGCGCAGTGCGTTTACTGAGGCTATGCACATGCTCTCTATGGGCAATTGTCCTTTACCCGTTGAACACCCCCAGAGGAAGATCATACATCCACCATTTTCCTTCTTGGTGTGTAGGCTTGAGCCCACTCACCCAACTACTGAGATCTTATTGAGAAGCTGCTGATTACCTGCATGTTTTCTGACTATTGGGAGACTGTCTTCCCTGACACTGACTGAAACCAATAATCATTTCAGAGACAATTTAACAACCACCTGACCATTACCTGATGGTAGTCTGACATTCATGGGGGGAGGGCCCTCTACTGCCCTGCTCATGTCTGCCTCACTACCTACTGTAACATTCCCCCACTCAAGAGTCCAACACCCAAGTCTTTGGGATAATGAATGAAGATCAGTCTTCTGTAACTGCTTCCTGCTGACAGAGGAGCAGTGGTGGTCTGGGCTCTCTTAGGCCCACTTGATAGTCTCCTACTTTTGCTCTTTTTTGATCTATGTCTTCATGGACCAAAATCTCAAGGAGGCTTCTGGGATTCTAGCAAGGGTGGCTCTGTGGGTTGGTGAAAGTGGTGTCCAGCCAGGTCCAAGGGAGATGGGCAGGATTTCACCTCTGTGATGTCTCATTGATAGGTCACTCAGGGGTCCTCTGTAGAAGGGTGACTCTTGAATACTGAGAGGATGATATCCCTCACTGAGGATCATCTGGAGCTTGATGGCCTGAAGGTGACAGGAAACAAATTGGGTTATCAGATTTAGAAGACCTGGACCCAAGACAGGTGCGGTGACTCACACCTGTAATCCCAGCATTTTGGGAGGCCGAGGCGGGCAGATCACAAGGTCAAGAGATTGAGACCGTCCTGGCCAACATAGTGAAACCCCGTCTCTACTAAAATACAAAAATTAGCTGGGCATGGTGGTGTGTGCCTGTAGTCCCAGCTACTTGGGAGCCTGAGGCAGAAGAATTGCTTGAAGCCGGGAGGCAGAGGTTGCAGTGAGCTGAGATCATGCCACTGCACTCCAGCATGGCGCCTAGCAAAAGAGTAAGACTCTGTCTCAAAAAAAAAAAAAAACAAAAAACAAAAAGTAGGAGACTAACAAGTGGGCCTGAAAAGAGGACAACCCAGGAGAACCATTTCCATGTTCCCTCCCAATCTAACCAACACTGAGAAGTTTGTTCCCGTAAATAAGAGACTCAATTTATGAGTTATCTGATGTTGTCTTGTACTTTTCCCGATTGATTGAACCAAAAGCAACATTTTTCATCTAAAGCTAAACAAATTCTTCCCTGTGCTGCCATTAACATATGTAGTCCTCGGTGATTTGGGAGGACTATGGCTGCTAAAGAGTCAATTTGTTCTTGCACAGCTATTAAGGGTTTAGCCATGGTATCAATGTTGGCTGTTTCTGTTGAGAGTTGGCTATAGGTAAAGGAGGCTTCTGTGACTCCAGCAATTCTGGTTCCCATACTAGATATAATGCCAGGTCTAGCGAGAAGGGAAATTAATTGGATACCCCTCTTCACCCTGGGAAAGATGGGCTGCCCATAGATTGGTACGGGAAGAGAGATTGCCAAGGACTTTGAAGATGTCTGGGGATACACAGCCTATGGCACACATTCCAGTCCAGTGAGGGGAGAGGCATTGGTGAAATAACTGGCTACAAATATAGAAGGCTCTTCAGGTTTTAAGTAGAGATGTCAGAAAGAAATAAAGGGGTCTGACTCTTGAGGGAGGGGGGTGCCACTTGCCCCCGTTACCCGACAGGATTTAGAGGAAAGCTGCCTATAGAAGGAAGTTAGCATAAAGTAGACAGTTCTTGTATTTCAAAGGAAATTTGTAGAGTCCTACCTGCCACTTCCAGAGTTGCTCTAGGCTTGGTTCCTTTAAGGACAACATCTGATTTGGAAGCTGGTAATTGGAGAGCCCTTTCATTCAGTTCAAGGCCATTATTGGGTGGGGGTCTCACTGGGAGGCCTTTTACCTCCTTTTGGTCCTTCCAGGAGCCAAACTTAGCATATGGGACAGGCTAGTGTAGCACCCTTCCATTTGGGCAATTCCTTCTCTAGTGGCCTAGTCTTCCCCACTGATGGCAGTTACCTGGAGGAGTGTCCTGAAGGCAATCTGGAGGGGGTTGGTGGGCTTGCAGAACAGCCAGTAGTTGAGCCTGCCCCTTGTCCCTAAATTTTCCTTTTCCTTAGCCCTGTCTTCCTTGTCCTGATTTGGGTTATAAAAGATTGAGGAGGCCGGCTGCAGTGGCTCACGCCTGTAATCCCAGCACTTTGGGAGGCCGAGGCAGGTGGATCATGAGGTCAAGAGATCGAGACAGGCCAGGCACATTGGCTCATGCCACTGTGGGATCCCAGCACTTTGGGAGGTCGAGGCGGGTAGATCACAAGGTCAGGAGATCAAGACCATCCTGGCTAACATGGTGAAACCCTGTCCCTACTAAAAATACAAAAAATGAGCTGGGCATGGTGGCTGTGCCTGAAGTCCCAGCTACTAGGGAGAGTGAGGCAGGAGAATTGCTTGAACCCAGGAGGTGGAGGTTGCAGTGAGCTGAGATCACACCACTGTACTCCAGTCTGGGTGACAAGGTGAGACTTCATCTCAAGAAAAAATATATATATCAAGACCATCCTGGCCAACATGGTGAAACCCTGTGTCTACTAAAAATACAAAAAAATAGCTGAACATGTTGGTTCACACCTGTAGTCCCAGCTACTCAGGAGGCTGAGGCAGGAGAATCGCTGGAGGATTTCTGGCATAGGAGTACTGGGTCCTAAGGCTGACTGTAATTTTTCCTAATATCCAGGATGGCTTAGGTAAATAAATGGTCCTTTAGGACTACTTGTTCCTTGGGGGATTCTAGGTTTAAGTTGGCACGCTTAATAAGGGTTTCCTGCAGCCTTTTGAGAAAGGCTATAGGATTTTGGTTGGCCCCTGGTTTATTGTGGCTAACTTATTAGAGTTTATTGGCTTGACCTTACTTCATTTTATTCCCTCTATTAGACCCAGCAGTATGTGGTTCCTGGCACATATTTTTGCTTGAGTACTGTAGTCCTAATTGGGATCTTGTTGCGGAAGAGCTGTAGCCCGTGGAGAGTAGTGGACGTTTGCCAGGTGTAAGTCATCCCCACAGTGGCTCACTGCTTCACAGATGGTTTGTCTTTCCTCCTGTGAGAGGGCTTGTCCTGGGAGGATATTTACGTCCTTTCAAGTTAATCTAAATATAAGGACTGGCTGGGGGCAGTGGCTTATACCCGTAATCCCAGCGCTTTGAGAGGCTGAGGCGCATGGATCGCCTGAGATCAGAAGTTCAAGACCAGCCTGGCCAACATGGTCAAACCCCATCTCTACTAAAAATAGAAAAATTAGCCAGGCATGGTAGCGCACCTGTAGTCCCAGCTACTCAGGAGGCTGAGGCAGGAGAATTGTTTGAACCCAGGAGACAGAGGTTGTAGTGGGCTGAGATCATGCCACTGCACTCCAGCCTGGGACAGAGCAAGATGTTTTGGAAAATAAATAAATGTAAGGGCCAACATTTGGAAGCCTTCAATGAGCCTCTCGGGGTCATTTGAGAACTTTCCTTGTTTTTTTGCTGTTGTTGTTTGTTTGTTTTAATTTGCCAATGATCCAGAATGAAAAGGAGATGAGAACTTGGATGGATCCAACTGGGTCACTTACTTTCTCTAAGGGGCAGAGCCTGGAGGGAGAGCTAACGGGCTCTGTGTAGGGCAGGGCTGATTCCAAATGTCTGAGAGTGAGATAAATAGGGGAGGAGCCGGGTGGCTGTTTTTCACTTTTTGGCCTGTGGAGGAGAAGGAGGCAGTTTTTCCCCTTGGCTTTTGGAGGAGAAGGGAGTCAGGAGATGAGTCCTAGTGAAGGGCCCTGGAGAAGGCAGCTAAGCATAGCTACGATGGTGGGGTTTGCCTTACAACCTTTGTAAGGATTGGGGTTTTTCCTTCAGGCCATGAAGGTTTGTAAACGGAGAACCTCTGACTATTTCCATGACGGTGGCAGGAAAGGTCCAGCTGGAGGATGGTATTCAAATGTGTACTTTTGTGTTTTGGCCAGAGTTCCTCTGGTTTTGCAAAGGAAAATTAGTTTTTCATTTTAGGGTTTGGGTGTTGAACTTACCCCAATTCTTGAGGTGCATCCAAGGGGCATGTCCTGTGGTATGGAGATGCAATTACCTATCTGTGAAGAGAGAACAGAGGAGAGAAGGGAAAAGGCGTCTCCTCTAGTTTCCCTTCTATCTTTTTCCTGCACTTATGGCAGACCGGAGTGAACGTGGTGTCCCCCCATTCATCCTAGGAGTTCCAGAATGAACCACTGCTTACTGGGTACCCTGAACCCTGGTCTCATCCCATTTCTGGGACCAGCCTTCAGCTCTTCTAGGGGTAATCTGTTTTGTGCCTACTATGCTTGGGACTAGCCCTCAGCTCTGTTCTGTGAGTACTTTGGTCTTTGCACATTTGGCCTTGGGCCAGCCTATATCCTTGTCTCCATGACCTTATAGTGACTCTTGTTCTGAGCATTGTAACAACAAAATAATCATCTCTTTTCTCATATTCCCATATCCTATGTTCTTTAAGTAGATGAGAAGACTGCTTTTCAGCTGACAAAAGGGAGCTGGACTTCCCTCCTTTCAAATAAAACCTTGAAGGTCCTGGTTGGGTGCAGTGGCTCACGCCTGTAATCCCAGTACTTTGGGAGGCTGAGGCAGGTGGATCATGTGAGGTCGGGAGTTAGAGACCAGTCTGGCCAACATGGAGAAACCCTGCCTCTACTTTAAAAATTTAAAAATTAGCTGGGCGTGGTGGTGCATGTCTGTAATCCCAGCTACTTGGGAAGCTGAGGTAGGAGAATTGCTTGAACCTGGGAGGCAAGGTTGCAGTGAGCTGAGATTGTGCCATTGCACTCCAACCTGGGCAACAAGAGCAAAACTCTGAAACCTCGAAGGTCCTGATGTATACTGAAAAGGGTGCTTGAACTCGGGAGGCAGAGGCTACAGTGGACCAAGATCACACTACTGTACTCCAGCCTGGGTGACAGAGTGAGGCTCCATGTCATTAAAAAAAAAAAAAATTAAAGAAAAGTTTAAGGGAAAAGGCTTTTGCAGTTTGCTTTAAGGCTGCATCTTTAGACTAGGAAGAAAAGAGAAGGGGAAAAAGAGGTTTTTGTTTGTTTTGTTTGTTTTAAGATGGTGTCTCACTCTGTAGCTCAGGCTGGAGTATAGTGGCATGATATCAGCTCACTCCGACATTGACCTCCCGGGTTCAACAATTCTCGTGCCTCAGCCTCCTGAGTAGCTGGGCTTACCATGCCCAACTAATGTTTGTATGTTTTGTAGATACAGGGTTTCACTATGTTGGTTAGGCTGGCCTCGAATTCCTAACCTCAAGTGATCCACCCACTTTGGCGTCCCAAAGTTCTGGGATTACAGGCATGAGCCACTGTGTCCGGCCAAAACAAGTTTTAAAATGCATTTTGAGATAGGTGAGGTGGCTCATACCTGTAATCCCAGCACTTTGGAAGGCTGAGGCTGGAGGATCGCTTGAGCTCAGGAGTTCAAGACCAGCCTGGGCAACAAAATGAGGCCCTGTCTCTACAAAAAAATACAAAAGTTAGACAGGTGAAATAGCGCTTGCCTGTAGTCCCAGCTACTTGAGAGGCTGAGGTAGGAGGATTGCTTGAGCCCAGAAGCTTGAGGCTGCAGGGAGCCCTAATCATGCCACTGCACTCCAGCCTGGGTGACACATTGTGACCCTGTCTCCAAAACTAATAAAATAAAATTCATTTTGAAGTTAAGCTGCTCCATTACAAGAGGTCACCTATTTTTAATTTTTATTACAATTATTTTTACATGAAGGAAATTATGCAAATCTTAAGTCATATAGCATGAATTTTTTCAGCTTTATTATAATTTACATACAATAAAATTTACTCATCTTAAGTGTAGAGTTTGATGAATGTTAGTGATGCATATAGTTGTATAACTACCACCACAAAGAAAATACAGAATATTTCCATCACTCTAAAAAGTTTTCTCATGCCCTTTGATCTCCTTCCCTGCCCTCCCCACATCCTCCCTACCACACGCCCAGGCAACAGTTGCTCGCTTTATGTCACCTTGGTTTTGCCTTTTTAAGAATTTCATATACATATATATGTGTGTGTGTGTGTGTGTGTGTGTGCGCACAGTATGTAGAATTTGTATTTTAGTTCTTTCACTTAGTATTATGTTTTTAAGATTCATCTTTGCTGCATGTACAAATATTTGTTTTCTATTGCTGAACAATCTTCCTTTGTAACCAGTTGATGGATGTTTGGGTTGTTTCCAGTTATCTATTTTTATTTTTATTTATTTTTGTTTTTTGTTTTT